GTATAAAATTATTATTTTATTTTTTTATAAATATTTATGTAAATAATAGATAAAATAATAAAAAATAAAGTATTTTATAATATATAAATATTTTATTGCTTATCTGAATGTTATGTGACCATTAGCCTCCATCAGAGAAATCTGAACTGCTCTTCAGAAACAGACTGTTAATTATTTAAATGTTGTTAAATTATTTAAATATTAATTTTCAATCTGAGGGGTCAAGGGGGTTCAGCTGACTCCTCTCCTTCTTCTCGAGGACTTACAAATATATACAGTCAAACCAAAAATTATTCAGACACCAGATATAATTTTTGATATTTTTTTTACTAATGGATGTAGTGCACTATAGTTCATTTATGTAAGTAAGGATAGCAAAATAAAGTAAACTGTGACATATTATACACAAAAATTCTTCATACAGTGGACTACCAGTAAAACTGATAAAAATTTGAGACCAAAAATTATTCAGACACTTTGACCAGACCATGTTTTGCTTAAGTGTTTTTCTTTAATTGCTAATGCGACCGTTTTACACACCATACTGAACAAAATTAAGCATTGCTTGGTAATTGGTTGACCTAAATTGCCATTATCTAATAGTGTAGTTAAATTTAACAGCTGACAGCTATTCAACCTAATTCATTACATACCTTTCTATCAAATCTATCTGACATTATCAAGATGACATTTTTCTGACACAGTTTAACTCTGAGTTCTTGTCATATTTTATTACCGTTTTCTAAACTATAGCGAATAATCTGTGATAATGTGAGAAATGTTGAAGGCGTCTGAATAAATTTTGGTTTGACTGTATAATACCTGGAGAAAACTATCAAGAAGAGTCTAACTGGCCTATACTGACCAGCACAACCTTGACCCCTCACTATTGTTACTTAAAGAGATAGTTCACCAAAAAATGAAAATTCTGTCATTGATTACTCACCCTCATGTCGTTCCAAACCCGTAAGATCTTCACTCATCTTCGAAACACAAATTAAGATATTTTGATGAAATCCAAGAGCTTTCTGACCCTGCATAGACAGCAAAGCAACCACCACGTTCAAGGCCCAGAAAGGTTGTAAGGACATTGTTAAATTAGTCTAACACTGCCATCTGTAGTTGGTTTACTATTATTACTAAATCAAGTATGAAAAAACAAGGATCACGTGAACACTTTGTCTGCAGTAAAACATTCTGGTGCTCAAACCAATAAATGATATTGTGTATCAGAACACACTGGTAGCTTGCTTGAACACAGATATGCACCTCAGCAACTTGCTTGACTGTCTTTATGTGTAGCTGAGGCCTGTAGCACCACAGAGGACGGAGATGAGCCTTTGCTCTGCCCAACTGGTTATGAGTGCCACATTATCAACCCGGGAAACCCATCAGCTGGGATCCCAAACCGAGGCCAGTGCATCAAACAGCGTGGAAACTCAGGTCTGAAGGGGCTCCTTTATCCAAACTTTCATTCATACATCCATCACGCCGTCCACTCACACGTTATCCATTGTGTAGGTTATATAGTATGGTGGTTATAAACATTGTTTCAGAAAACATCCAAGCAAGATTACATTCACACATTCAACAGTAGATTGCATAATTAATATATTTAAATAAAAATATTAAACACATTTAACTGTTCTCCCTCTAGATGGACGTAGCATGAGACACAAGTCCTTCAAAGATTACAAGGATTATTTAGGTTAGTACGACCACCAATTTATTTTGTGTTTCAGCTGAAGGAAAGGGAAGAATAAAAGCAGCCATTATTAATAGAATGACAATTAATTGAATCTTTATTCTTCAGGAAGTAACTCCAACAATGCAGTGATCTATGAGAAACTTCAGCACAAGCATTTGGGCTGAGACGAAGGTGAGTTGAGTTTCACCACTGAATCCCAACTTTTTTATGATTTAATGTATTAAAAGAGGCACTTTTTTCTCATTTAGGTTCCATTTTGGAGGACTGAAGTAACCAGTAACCACTGACCCTTATACCTGAACCCCAACCATCAAATCCAACAGAACTGCACAAGCCTTTCTCTTCAGCTTAAATCAGCGATCGGTTCAGATCTGGTGCTCTTTTTCTGGTGCTTAAGGTGGAGTGACAGAAATGCAAAGCTAAAATTCCCTACCTCTGATGAAAGCCAAAAACAGACCACAGAAGTATCAAAGAATATGCCTACTTTGGGTAAAAAGCAGAATTAACTAAGTGAGTTGTGTTAAAGGAAGATATTTTGTGTGGTTTTTATGCTGCTGAGTCTGAACTTTTTTTCCACTTTAAACACCAAAAACAGCTATGTATGCTAAATGCTCAGTTACTGTGTGGATTTAAAGTTTGGTACAGAAATGCTCCATAAAGACTTAAATTACTTACAACACAATTATGTTTCTCCTTTAAAGTGTTTTATTTTTTTCAAAAATCATGTGTTTATAGGTGCTTGCCTCAACTAGTTTAAAATGACCAAGCAACAGTTAAATCCCGTCTGTGCTCTATCACTGCAAGCTATTTGTTTTTCATATGATATCAATAACTGTGGTTGTTGTTGTTTACTCATTGTGCAGGTCTATGTTTTACTCTACTGCTCTCTGATAAGCTATACAAATCTGACGAGTGGGACAAACCACAATACAGCTTTCAGTAAAACAAAACATTTGAAACTGGTGCTGCATATACTGCCTTGTAATTCCAAATAAAACATTTGATAAAATATAGCCTATGTGTCATATTCGTGTGTATATGTTCCAATTGTCAAATGTGTGTAAGTGAATGTTTTTGTCGTTTAAAAACTTTATGATGCTCATATAGACAATCGGATCTTTGGATTAACATCACGTAAATTCACCCATTTCAATAGCTACATAAAAGCACCTAGGAGAAGAACAGTGTGAACTTTATATTTAACTACACATTTATGGGAATAAAACACGTCGTCAGATTTGAAAGGATTACTGCAGCTTTCGAGTATTTGATGAACTCACAAACATCCGCGTGTATTTAACTAGGCCTTTTTTGCTAGTAAATAATTTAAATGTCTGAAAACTAAAGTTTTATGTGGTTTAAAACTGAATTATTTCAGTAATAATTGACGCCGGGCAGGCTACTGCTGTGTTTGATCTTAGCTAAAGAAAGAAATCATCTGATTTTATCCAGCAATCATTATTTACATAAATTTAAAAAGGCAAAAATATAAATAGGATCTTCTGTAATAACTCTCATGAAACCACCTTCATTCAGTTATTTTGTTATCATACGTGTATTAATTAAAATATTTAGTGTTCAAGACCTTTCTCCCTTTTATGGGAAGTACTTTAAAGGTCACTGATTATCATGAAGAAGATTTACTTTTATTTTTTTAGTTTACTTTAAAAAAAAATGTATTTAAGGTTTTGTTGACTTGAGTCAAAATCCCTTTAAAAAGTCTTTGCTGAAGTAAGGCTGTAGTGTACATGGACGTTTTGAAACGTTTTTTTTTTTTGAAGAGCGCTATAAAGACCTTTAATGCTGAGCCGTATTTGCCGTAAAGACTTTATATATAAACGAGACTTTGGTAATATAGTATTTTGATTTTTATATTATTACCTCTCCCGGCACGTTTTGTTTATCTATTTAATTTTTTTGCAGTTATTTCTATTATTTTCTTTATTTATTATTATTTTCTTTATTTTCACCCTGTTTGTAAGTGAATTGGTTTAAATACATTATAATGTGTAATATTTGCAACTGAACAAGTAGTTAAAGTTAACGTTTCTATGTCTTTATATCTTTATATCTCACACACGTATCTTTGATTCTAAAGCTTATTTATGTAATTCAATTGTAGCTACATTGTAATTATAGTTTTAACTGCCATAATGCACTAATACAACAATATCGAAACCATACCTATTATAATGTTGTTTTATATTGGTGGACCTTTATTTTGAAATTCATTTTTGTAGACAGAAGGCAGAAGCTTCCGTTCCGGGTCAGGGGTAACCAACGTGGACGCAGCTCAACGTGTGCGCTGCTTCTCTGAGTGGTAAAAAATCTGAAAGAGAATAATAAATAAGAAAAGAGATTGTCATTTTATATTTGCATTCTGTTCTTCTCGTATCGTACGGCATGATGTATGTGCCACCTAAATCAGTAGTTAAACTAACTTAAGTTAACTAACGTTAAGTTACTTCAGAAAGAAATTTTCAGAGACAAACTAATACATGAGGCGCTTAGTCGAACTGTCTAATAAATGAGCAAATGATGTTGTGTACACAGTTACATTCGCAGTTGTATAAACATTTAGGCTCCTAATGTCGTTCAGGATCTCTGTAGTGAACAGTAACTTTACGCACTGATTCAACTAACGTTATTTGATCAAAATAGCAGATTGTTCTTTGACTAAAACAATGTTCTCATGATGTGTACAGGTCTCAGATCAGCGATGGGGGAGTTTAAAGTTCACCGGGTTCGGTTTTTTGATTACATGCCGTCGGGAATCAGAGCCTTGGCTTTCAATGGAGATACTGAAAGAATGGCAGTGGCGAGGATGGACGGATCCGTGGAGATTTTCCACTGTTCAGACAGATTTTTCCAAGAAAAGGTACGTTCAGTCATATTTATCCAATAGATGCTCATAAGACAACTCGGTCTTAGTATTGGGGACCAAGAGCTACATTGATCAAATGTTTTTTGACCAGCAGACAGTTTGTTAAAGATGCTTAATTACATTTCTTATGTCCACAGATCATCCCTGGCAGAGAGCAGTGTGGGATTGAAGGTCTGTCCTGGGTTGGGGAGCGTCTGTTCAGTGCAGGACTAAACGGTGGAATAACTGAGTATGACCTGACAAACCAGAAAGTGAAATACACCATAGATGCCTATGGAGGGCCAATCTGGACTATTACAGGCAATCAACAAGGAACACACTTAGCGGTATGTTTACTATGTGTACAGTAACAAAAATCAGCCACAGTTAATGTATGAATGTCAATGCATTAGATCAGTGGTTCCCAACCCTGGTCCTGGAGGCACCCCAACATAGTGCTGGGCGGTATACCGGTTCATACCAAATACCGGTGTTTATTTTTGTTATGATATGAATTTTTAAAATACCGCAATACCGGTGTATGTCGCTTAAACAACGTTCAGAATGCGACACTGTTTGAAAGGGGTCCCTTTTCACTGTTGTACTGTGGTGAGGGAACAGCTGTATGTGTTTCTAAGCGTGAAAGTTCCGAAACTGAAGCTGTAGAACTAATAGAACGTGATGACACAGAAGAACTCATCCACATTGACCGCCACAAATATCCACTGCCCCCTGCCATCAGCTCCCGCGTCTCACACACACACGAGTGCGACTTTAGCACTAGATTTAGCAACTTTCAGACCCTTTTTGCGGCTTTTTTCCATAGAATATTCATACTGACAAGCCTAGCGACTTTTTTGGATAAACCTTAGCTATGGTTCAGTTGGAAGATTTCGCCA